CTACAACATGGAATAGTTTTTAGGCTGCTTCTTTATGTAGAAAAGATAATCCCACTTTACATTTCCACAAAGCTGCTAAAGGAATCCATGAGCTTGCCTCACATGTAATTGAGACAAAGTGCCTATTCAGGATAAAATCATACATTCATCTCTTTGTTGTTCATTTGTGATTGTTCCAGGAGTTAGTTCCAACTCCAGATTGATTCTAGATTTTGAAGTTCAAGGACATTTACTTTCAAGCTCAAGTGATTGATATGTGACAAGACATCTCCCAGACATAACAATGTGAAGGTGGCATTTGCCATTCATAAATCAGTAAGTGGAGATTTCCTGGAAAGGCAGGAAATCGAGATTTGCATTTGTCAGTTCACCTCTTTGTAAAACAAACTTTTATGAAGTAGAAAGAAAAACCGTCAGAGCAGAGCTGTCAGTTAGATGTTCTACTTTACAGTAGAAATCCATCTTTTCACTGTTTAATCCAGATTTACAAGTTCTTTGAGTAAGACAATAGTTTCACATTACATTCTCGAGCAACAATTTTCTTACAGTGAGAAACTACTTTATTGGTATACATGTACCCAAAGAGAAGCAATGGCTTGAACACAGGCACAGCTGGTTGGATTTCTGGGATTTTTCTGCATGAAGTTTGCATGTTCTCCCCTTAAATGTGTGGGTTCTCTCCAGGTACTCTGTCTTCTTCCCACTGTCCAAAAAACATATCTGTTAGATTACTTGGTCTCTTTAAACATTAGGTGTGAGTGTGTTGTTTCCCCTATGTTTCTCTGGGTTGCCCTGTGATGGACTGTGCCTGGTCCAGAGTGTACCCTGCCTGTCACAGTGGAGATAGACAAAAGCTCTCCTGCAGCCTGGATGGATGGATAGATTCACACAGCACAATGTTGCTACCACTATGTTCCACCATAGTGGTGACATGTTCAGTGTGATGAGCAGCATTACTTTTCTTTTTGGAAGTTTGGATGAAGGCAATAAAGTTCATTTTTAATGTTGTCAAATTAAAAATATCTTCTTTTCGAGACCAAAAGAATTGCAGCTGTATTCACAGCAAAATGTGCTTTTACAAAACACATTTTGTTTCACCAGAGCAATCTTATTTGTGTAAAAGTTTTATAGATTAATGAGTAAACTATGATGTCCTTTTACATGACAAATGAGTAACGGTTCTAGTGGGTGATGTCGTCATACAGCGAGCAGCCTCACAGTCTGAAGAGCAGCATAGCATAATCTGTACACAACACAAACACATCAGTGGAGACATGGATGTCATGTTGAACAGTCTGCTCAGTCTGGGACGTTTTGTTTTTTTATCCAACTCAAAAAATCTGAAAACCTGAAAGGGATCCAGGCAGAGAAATACAGGAGAGTGAGAGAGTCACTCTTTTGACAAAACCAGTGACTTCACCCCCTTAGCCAATCAGTGACCAACAGTCTTCTGACGTCACCTGCCTGGAAGCTTCTGTGTCCTTTTTCTGCTTGCTATCTCATCAGGTATGATGATGACACATCATGGTACAAATTTAATGTTGGTCTAGAGTGTAAAAATGAAGAGCGTGTTGTTGAGACATTAAATCCTGTTAAGTCTATGTGTGTGTTTATTGGGATATTTGGTGAATATGTGAAATTTAAAATTAGAATATTACAACAAACCAGTAAAATACATTTTTAATACAGAAATGTGGACTTTGTGTATTGAACTTATATAATATCTGCTTAAAGATTATTATTTCCAAAAGGTACTTTTTCTGTCTTTCTATCAGGCCTCATCTGAACAAATATTCTAATGTATTGAAAGTGACTGTATTTTGCAGTATTCACTTTGACAACATTGCCTCTTTTTTCCACATTTATCAACTAACCCACTGTTTTCAGACAGAAGTTCAATGGTCTTTGAATGGTCAAAAATTTTTTAGCTGCATTATTTAGAATGGAGTTCAAGCTGGTATCAGCTGGAGCCACTCCAAATATTCAGATGGTGATCAGATCTTATCCTTTTGCAGCGTTTACCTATGCTACTGAAACTTAAGGCAGATCAAAGTATTAATAACACTCTGAAAGTTTGATGTGTTTGTGAATACAGATTTTGATTCTACAGAAAACCATGGCAACAGCCAACTATTGGTTCTTGTCATAGCTAATCAAGGCAAACACTGGAAATTAGTTTAACTTTACATCAATGTTTTTACATGCAATCACTGGTAAATACGTTGAGCATTATTGTAAATCCAATAAAACAGCGCAGGTGTAGGGATCTACTTTAACAATAACTTATGAAAAATTGCATGTAAGGTACCAATAATATTCTGAACCCCAGACCTGAAAACAAAAACTGGCACTTAATTTTGTTCACAAGTTATGTTATCCTCTCAGCAGTTCTGCATACCTGTAGTATTCTGGATATGTCACATGGCCGAGCCCCACTATGAGCAAGCTCCACTATCTTCTGCCTTGTTGAATCAGGTAAAGGCCTTCCATTTACAAACACACCTCCAAGCTGGTTTACTCCACTGTGACCTTCACACACAAACACACAGAAATAAAATGAAAGGGAAAGAAATAAAGGAAAGAGGGAAATAGACCATTTTATTAACAAGAGGAAAATATAAGGGTGAATATGGAGGAAATAGCCTGGGTGCTTAGATTTTACATTTTAACATCTAGACACTCAGTTTGTAAAGAAGTTGCAGTATGCTGACCTCATGTCAATTATTTGAATCTAAATCTATTATTCAGTTACTGAAAGATGCTACGGACACACTTCTTTTTGTATGTATTTGAGAGACATACAGCATGGTCAGTGGCACATTTTTGTTTGTTTTTAGGAAGATGTGTTCTCCATTCCCTAGTCCTGTTTAACTGTCTGTCCAAAATAAAATACCATCAACTTATTGCTTGGCGGAATTCATACCCTATAAATTTTAACCTGAGTTGACATTAGCAAGTTTCCAGTCTCCTATGTTGGAAGACACAAGATAAACCAATAGCCAGAAATTGGCATATGAATGACAACAAAATCTGGTGCATCTTTAAATTGTAAAATTGTATTGATTTGAAAAACACTACTATTTCTAAGGGGCAACAGCCTATAAAATATGCACACAACAGCAAACACAAAAACACAAAAAGCTCCCACACATTTATAAAATTATATCAGGACTCCAACTAGCACAGTTAATCTACAAACATGTAGGAACCCATCAGGTAAAGGAATAAAAGATCTTCATTTCAGGTTTTTGACAGAACTGGGCTGTGCGGTGATTGGTAGCTTCTCCCTGACTCATTGTGCTGGCTTTGCAGAGCAAATAGGAAGGTGACAGGCAAAGTGAGTGGTAAGGAAAAGAAACTTAGCCTGAAAGACCACAGCAAACATGTATTCATGGGAATACAACTTTGCATTAGCGCTTATCTTGCAAATCTCACATTAGTGCTTGAGATAAAAAGTTGCCCATCTACTGAGGATTTTGACACCTAACTGCATAGAGGGGATAACTAAGGAGTGATGATATCAAGGAGTGAGAAAACTCCAGCAGAGGGGTAAGTCAAAGCACGCACACTGATCTTCTTCTAGACACCACACTATGGAAATGGCAGGGGTCTACAATCCAACACTGAATGGTACTCAAACAACCCAGGTCAGCAACAGATGGACAGGACAGGTCTACACTCTGCGAGGCAGTAGTCAGGGTCCAGGTTCATGGAGTGCAGATCAGAGCCAAAATCCCAGAAACTGACAGTAGAGACAGAGAGCAGGCAGCTGTGATGATCACGTTCAAGAAAATGGAATGCTCTAAAGCTGTGGCAAGGATTACGACAGACAATCAACCACTGAGTGGTGCAGAGTAGTTATGTTGTTTAGGCCTCTTCTCTGTGACTAAACTCAGCAAAATCTTTTATGTGATCATTGGATTTGTTCCTGTTTACTTGTGTTTGCTTTAAACAGCTAGAAAAAACCTTGAACACTGTGCTGATAAAGCGTAGAAGTGCTATGTCTCAGCAGGGGCACATAGTGCTGTGACACTGTAGGTTAAGTAGATTTTCACTGAATCCATTGTCTGTTGCTTTTATGAGCTCAGGGGAAGGAAACATATTGCAGATTGATAAACCTCTCAGCAGTGAATTACTAAATCATGCAGTCAAAGTACACATACACATACACCCACCAGCACACGCACACACAACCAGATAGGACAGTCTGATTTGGATGCAGTCCAGTACACATGCAAACCAAAGAGGGATGGAAATGGTTCAGCAGGTAAGATACTGGATCCAGAGAGCAGGAACACTACAGTTGATGAGCTCAACAGACAATGAATGTACTTAATAGACACATTACATAGTAATACAGCATTTTATATGAGTCACCATAAGGCCAAGTTATCATACTAATAACAACAACAACAACAACAATAATAATAATAATAATAATAATAGATTTCATTTACAACGCCCTTTATATCTTTGGATATTAAAGGGCAAAAACAAAGCAAGCAAGTGTAATGGATAAAAATAATTAAATATTAAATAAATGAATAAATAAGGAGATTAAAACCAATGCCTAAGAAAATAAACCCAAAATCTTGCTAAAAAGAAATGTCTTAAGGCCTTTTTTTAAAACAGTCAGTGGTTCCCTCAGTGTGTCAGGGAGGGCATCCCATAGACGTGAAGCGGCAGAAAGCCTCATCTCCCATGGGCCTCAGTTTAGTTTGGAGTTTGTGGGGAAGCTTTGAGTGGGTGGAGTGGAGTGAGTTGTGTTTGGTAAGTTAAGCCGTTCTTTGATTGTTTTTCTTATTTTTTGCAATCAAAATCCCCGAAGTCGTGATACTACTTTAGAAATTTGCAATATTTTTTCCCATTCAATCCCTTCCAAAATCTACACGTATAAGAAAAAAGATTAAAAAAAAAACAGGAAGACAGACTGAACACAAACAATATTTTTATTATCTAAAGAACTTAAATATCTCAACTAAAACTTGATATGAAGTTAGACAACCTTGTAATAGAAGTAAGAAATACTGCCACCTGCAGGTGGGAGTTAGCTGTCACTTAACCCAACGTTTTGATAGGTATTTTTTAAAAATCAATTAAATTTGCAATAGATTCACAAGTATGCGTTAGATAGAAAAAAATGTGGGGTTCTGTTGATTTTGCATAAATTTGTGAAATCTGGAGTCTGGAAAACCTGAAGGACTATGTAATTATCAGACCGTTCCTGTTGGTTGCTTGACTCAGTCTATAATCAAATTTTCCATTGATTATATTTTGTGAGCACTGGCCACTGACAAGAGTAACAGTGAAACTTTAGAGCCATGCCTGTCTTAATCCCCTATACAGTCAGGGACTTTTTAATATTGGCACTTGTGATTTCAGAAATTTTCCACTTCAGAATTTTTGATCAATGGTTCTCAATACCGGCTAAGGATTTTTTGACAGTGAGTGCACTTTAATTAATTTAATCATTTCTAAGACAGAATTCAAACCAACTGAACTAAGTGTTTTACAACAATTAAACAGCAACATTAAGTTGTGATTCACCTACAGAGGTAACAAGCTATAACACAAGCAAATTGAAACTAACTGTAAGCAACTTTGCAACACTGACCAAATTTCAGAAAACAAAAAGACATTCATCTCACACAAGCATAAAACCAGGTACATGCGAGAATAAGACACATGTACCTGCTTGTTCAACATATAACTGAAAGAGGATGATTTAATTTAAAACTTCCTGTTGTAATAACACCTTTCCATCTATGTATTAAGATGTAACCACAGTAAGACAGACTGAATGTGCATGAGTAGTTTAAATGTTGGGTTCACAAACAAAACTAATTATTATTGTGGTACAAGCTAAAGGCTACAAAAACTATGATCTATTGTAGAAATTAAACTTGGATGACTGAATGGGATGAATAGTTAAACATTGAGGAATGCTTGTAACCCACCTCCCAACACAGCCATGAGTGTTCAGGTAACGTCATGTGGGAAGACGTACATCTTTCTCCACATCCCACACAATTGTGATGATGCACTCATATTAATTTGAGTGCATCATCCCAATTGATATGACGCCACCTGTCAATCATTATAGGGGATTTGTCAGCAATTGACCAATCGGTGGTTGCAATTTGTCCCAAAGTGCACACCCCTTATCTGGAGGAACTGAACCTCTGTCAACACTGCGGGGTTCGTCATTGCGAATGTGCTGCATTCATACAGACTTTGACAGACTAGTCATGGTCAAACATTGTCATTGGGGAACATGCAATCTCGACAACCATTACCCAGAGCATTTAGAGGGTGGAATACAATTTATTACATTTCCAAAACCCAAACGCAGTCTGGAATAATGCAGAAATGGATCAAGGCCTCCAGTTGACCTCATGTCCAGTTGAATGAAACTGTGATCAACAGCAACTACCACATGTTCGCCTGCATGAAGGTAATTGGCAGTAAACATCCCATTTTTTGTCACTATGACACTTACTCTTAATCAAATCAAAGATCAACACGTGAAGGTAGTTATGCTTGATTTTATGTGTGTAAATTCCAGTGGTAGCTCTATGGCAGCATGAAAACGTGATGCTGTAACTGCAGTATTTGTATTTAATTACATTTTTATCCTAATGTTTATTTTGAAGCATTTTCCTGAGGAAGATTTTCAAAAGCTTTTATTATTTAAATCATTACTCATCCGCTTTTGCACATACAAAATGCGTCCGACACAACTTTCACACTCACATCCCATGAGACTTTGTGCCAGTCATTTTTCATCTGGCTGCCGAAGACTTTAACTTTGATATCTCTATTGTTTCTCACAAATAACATTACAGGTCTGATGTAGGACTTGTTGGAGAATTTTCCTGCCTGTTGTCTTTGCCTCAGTGTTGGCTGATACGACAAAAAATACTCAAAAAATATATTGGGTATCATTTTGAGTTCCACTACCTCTGCCATTATAATACTGTTTGTTTGTCAGAGGTTTGCTCTATTTCTGCATGGGGCGGAGCAAGCATCATGTCAATTAAAAAACATCCTGATGGCAGTACCATGCTGTGGGGATGATGTCTTCAGGGGGCATAGGGAATCTGGTCAGATGGATGGAGCTAAGGTAAATACAGGGCAACATTTGGATTGCCAGGAATTTGAGTGGGTAAAGGTTTACATTTCAGCATGAAACCAACCATAAACATATGATCAGAGTGACAAAGCATGTCAGATGTTATAAAGGCCCAGTCAATGTCCAGCCCTAAATCCAAACGGGAGGCTGTGACAGTTATATTATGTTTGATGGCTGCAGATTTTCTTAATCCAGTCTGACTAAAAGTAAAACAGACAGACAATGATAGATGAGAGACAACAATCACTCTTAGCTCCTTTTAAACGCTGCTAAAAAGTAAGGTTTATAATCCTGCAAACATTAGCATAGTACCTATTATGTCTTCCACAAGTCAATTATAGGATCAGTTATCCTATAATTGCTGTGACTGCGAATATTTTCTAACTCTCTGTCAAGCTGTCTTATATCTCTTGTGTGTTGAAAGGTCAGCAGTTCAACTGTAGAAATGTTAATCATGGTGTCATTTCTGAGAAACACACTGGGGCTCTCCTCTATTGACAATAAATTAATAGAAAGACATATGGAGTCAATTTGGCCCCAATCCTCTGTGATACACAAACACTCACACACACAAAGCAGGCGAGCCCCTGGGAAAAGCTCAGGCTTTCCCTTCAAATCAACTCATTCACACTGCACCTGACTTCAGTTAACTCCCACTGTAACAGGATTCTGTTGTTGTCAACAGAGCCGATTGGAACAACGGTCCAGGTCCTCCATGGCAACACAGACAGGTGACTGTTTCACTGACATCAGGAAAGCATCATTTTAGCTGTACCTTCAACCATTTTAAGTACTGATTTATTATGAATCCACACTGTGATAGTTCTTCGTTTGTATTAGAGAAGAAAGCCAATACTCAGAAGTTCTGTCTAGCCCTTACAGTAATTTTGATAGGTTGGTGACTAATAGAAAGATTCCCATCTGGTGATCAGCTTATTCCATTGTTAAAGCTAGTTATAGCTGTGTTTCAGCTTTAGAACAAGCAAATGTGCAAATGTGCCTATTCTCAAACCCTATGGATCAGGAATGGGATCTCACTTAAACTCATATGTATGTGAGTCAAGGCAGGTGAGCAAATACTTTTGGCAATATTATTTATGTCTGGCGCAAAATCAATGCATCTCATTACCCCAAGAACTAAACCATTCCCAGTGAAATGGGGTGGTGGCAGTGTCATGCTGTGGGAATGTTTTTTTCAATAGCAAGGACTGGGGAACTGGCTCAGTTCTAGAGGAAGATGGATGGTGCTAAACACAATTCTTGAGCAAAACCTGTTTCAGTCTGTCAGTGATTTGAGACTTGGATGGAACTTCACCTTCCAACAAGACAATGACCCAAAGCGTTCTGCCAAAGCAACACTCCAGTGGTTTGGGTGCAAATGTAATGGAAGGGCCTAATCTAATCAAAGCCCAGATTTCAATCCAATTGAGAACCTGTGGTCAGACATGAAGATTACTGTTCAACAACAGGAACAATCTAACTTGAAGGAAGTGGAATTTGCTCCAGAATGGATTTGAATCGGGTGTGCAGTAAAACGTCAGAATGGGCCAGTCTGGTAGTTTGCATAATAAAATGAGACACTAGCTGCCACTTCCAATTTGAAAAAGAGAAGAAAGGATGAACGAGCAGCAAACCTGCCAAAAAGAAAAAAAGAAAAAAAATTGTGGGGCTAAAATACTGAGAAAAAATGAGTGGAGGACACAAATAGATATTGTTTGTAGAGAGATAGGGGACCAAGCAGCAGAACTACAGCAGGTTAACAAGCTTCATCCCAGGTTTGGACATGTTTGCGTTTTTGCATATGTTCAGATTACAAAGAACATTAAAGGCAGCCTGCCATGCAGTGCCTTGCGAAAGTATTCACTGCCCTCATTACTCCTGATTAATCTGTTGAGGCAGATTCCCATTATTTATTTATCTTTACTTACTTTGATTGTTTTTATTAACTTTATTTCTCTCTTTCATACTCTTTGAGATAATAAACGGCTTATGAACAGCAGTAAAATCTAACAACACCCTCCTACTGTAAACCATATTTCATTCACTTATGATATTAGCAAGTGAATTGATGGGCTGGGGAGTTGAGCCTCATAGCAGCATCAAGCTGCTCTCACTCCCCTGTGCTGAGATGGACCTGATTAAATTAGAAATAATAAGTCTGACATTCAACAGAAAGTTGCAACACAAAGGCAATAGCAGTACATTATGACAATGGTAATTCATGCAGTACTGCTTTAAGCAGGATGAAGACCCAGAACTCAGGGCCTATCAAGAACAACCACAAAATAATAATAATAATAATAGCTACATTTTCCTATGTACTGGATGTAGTTTAGGTTGAAACATACCTGTAATCTGAACAAATAAAAGAAACTTGAGCAGGTTGGGTAATTTTCTGGCTCTAGCCCAGGGCGCCATGTCCTCCTAGAAGAACAAGGCTCCCTGGGCTGAAGCTGGGCATTAATAACATCCTTATAAGAAACAAAATTCAAGAATGCACTCACTGTTTTGAATCATGGAGGCAACACCAGTCTCCCAGCTGGGTTGAGTTCTGTAATCTGTACAAACAGACAAATCATATTTTACTGGGTTAAACACATTTGTGTATAATCAAGTCCACATTCAAAACACCTTAATTATGCAGAAAAGCAAAGCAGCAGGAAAGAAATAAATGTTTAAAGATTACTAATTAAAGTTTTTCATTTGTTTTTAGAAAGGAAGCTTTACTGCAGGACAGAAGTCAAACACCTGTGAAAAACCTACAATATCATAAATATTTTCTCATGCAGTGTCACTTAATTCACAGTTTATACAGTATGAGTCTATTAAGACTATCAGATGAGCAGCTTGTCCAATTATGGGGTGTTGAACATACATGCTCAGGATGAAGGATTGTTCATGCAGATGGAGTGAATGATGCAAGTGAGTGACTTGATCTAATCTGCTGGGAAACCTTAGAAAACAATTTAAATAAGAAGGTAAGTAAAACTGCATTTCTTGAAAAATAGGATCAATTGAAATATATGTAATTGACTTGGAATCTGTCTGTATGATAGGTTTGAATTTCCATCCATCCATCCATTTTCTTTACACCCTTGTCCCTTGTGGGGTTTGGAGGGCTGCTGCTGTCTATCTCCAGCTAACGTTCCGGGCGAGAGGCGGGGTCACCCTGGACAGGTCGCTAGTCTGTCGCAGGGCAACACAGAGACACACAGGACAAACGGTTTATTTATTTATTTATTTATTTATTTATTTATTTATTTATTTATTTATTTATTTATTCTTTTTTATAGCATACAATTTATGGCATACATAATTCATTTTATGTATGCCACAACATATAAAATGAATTATATTAAACTGTATCAAACCACCTGTGACATACTGGCAACCTGTCCAGGGTGACCCCCCCTCTCGCCCAGAACATTAGCTGGAGATAGACAGCAGCAGCCCTCCTGATCCCACTTAGGGACAAGGGTGTAGAGAAAATGGATGGATGTACCAAACCACTGAAGAATCTCTAAATGGCATTGATATTCTCAAATGCTTCTGCAACCATTACATTTTAGACAATTTCATTATCACAACTTTATGGGAACAGTTTGGCAATTATCCCTTCAAGTTCCACCAACCAGAAAAATCAGGAAAAGTTGGAGTACTAACTATGAGCCAGACCTTCCCATCCAACATTAATGTCTGACTTTACAAATGCACTTCTGGAAACATACCTAAGTCTTCTGGAAAGCCTCTGTAAGAGATGAAACTGTCATATTAAAAATCATGGATTAAGAATGGAATGTCACTCAAAAGTCTGGCTTTCTAGGCATGCTGATGTTTTAAAAAGTTATTATTTCAAATCTGATACCATAAATTTTTTTGAGATGCTGTCATGGCTGGAGTTTTTCCTGCAGTACCACTAAGGACTGTCAGTCACTGGATGGATGAAAGAATCACTCCCATACCTCTACAGTTCTTATCAGAAAAACTAAATCTACTGTTTGGTTGGATGACAACACAGGATGGTGAAGCCTAAACAGAACCATTATTATTATAATGCTACTTTAAAACTATAGATTGCAGTTGTGAGCAGCATGTCTGTTAAGTAGCTGACTGCAGCTTTATGACCTGAGCAGACAGCCTCACTAAATTAATTGGCTATTATGAGTTTGTTAGGCTCCCAGGACTCTGTGCAGGGCAGAGTGATAACAAGGTATCATATTCTTTATTGTAAGCATCTGAAGACCACTAGGTAATTTATCAAATGATAATTTGTATCTATACATTAGTCCTTAACCCTCCCGACCCCACTAAGGGACAAGGGTGTAAAGAAAATGGATGGATAGCTGGACATTAGTCCTTGTAAATCAAAATATTAAATAAATGTGATAAAAACAATATCATAACTGTGATTATAATCGGGGCAGCTCATTTTGAACTCCACCTGTACAAAACAAAAACATTATGTCTTATAACTGTTCCCTACATTGATAAAACACTGGATGGTTGCAGCTCTTTTTAAAACTTAGATGAGTGACTGATATGAAATGAGCAATGTTAGTTTCTCTTTATAGTCCTTCTTTAACAATATATGATCATAGAACAAATAAATTGTTAGAATTGGATCAGTAAAGTCATGTAGCAGTTTGCATAGATTTAATCTGGGTGGATTTCAGTTAATACTACTGAACAGAATTGATGTAAGTTTCACAGCTAACAGCAATTTAAACAAGTTCAATTCCAATCTATTTTAAAATTGTATTTAAAGAATGCAAACCATGAAGACTATTGTGTAATTGTTTAAAACAGGGGTCTCCAAACTTTTTCCTATGAGGGCCACATAACTTTTCCCTTCTTTAGTGGGGGGCTGGAGTCAGTTTGTAACAGAAAAAGTGTGACGATTGCAGGA